TAGTACTTGACTTTGAAGTTATTTATAAAATTTTAATTTTTCTCTGAATATTAAACCAAACAGCATAAAAAATGAGATGGAAAAGTTAGAGAAGAGGGCGAATTTAACTACTGCATTCTCCGCAGTAAGCATGTATTATTATACTAGTTAGCTTTTGTTGTGTAACACTCTGAAGTTTTCATACAGTGAAATGTCACCTTTGTTTTGGTTCCAGTTCTGTATGACCTTGGGCAAATAATTTAATTTCTCCAAGCTCAGGTATTATTATCCCCACCAATATTCTAATGCAAAAACAAAGATGGGGATAATAATACCTGACCCACCTACTTTAGGGTATAGTTATTAGAAAATGGAATATTATGTGAAAAAGCTCTAAAATATGGAGATCTAGAATTATATACTAGGTCTGAAGCTATCTAATTCTTTGCAAATGTCTCTCCATTTTTACGTATTTCTAAAAATCTTATGCTCTTCTAAACTAAAAAACTATGCTCCTTTTCCCCTTGTCCCCTGCCTATTAGAATACATATTTCAACAATAAACACACAGATTAAAAAATGTTTAACAGCTTTTTTGCTGTGACCAGATCTAGGAATGAGGGAGTAAGGGATACCAGGAGTGAACCAGAGAAGAATTTCCCTCCCTTCTGTCTTATTCACCCTCCCATAACTTCTTAGCTATGAATCCATTAGTTTGAGAGTAGAGAGAGGACTGAGGGATGTAGGATGAAATGACAGCTTATTTTTAGAAGTGCTACTTTAGGAGAATCTCAGGAATGGCTTGAATCTTCATCTGTAGTTTTACTTAAATTACAACAGGTATAAAAGTGTTGTGACTCAGTGGTTTATGCAACAAGCTGGAAACTCAGGACCTGTGGGTTCTGGCTATGCGTCTGACATTTGTTTTTTTACAAGTGAACTAGCCATGTTCACTCCTACGTTTTATTTAGTTTTTCATCTGTTAATGAGGACAGTGATACCAAACTGCTTCCCAGGATTGTTAAAAAAAAAAACCAAAAAACAGGATCTGTAATGCTATGAAATGCGTAACAAAGGTAGCTCTTAAGAGAGAAAAGCTGTAAACACACTCTGTTTTTCCACAGATTTAAAGTATTACTTTAAAGCATGACTTTCACCTTGCTGGGGGGGAAAGGGATACTGTGAATATAAAACCAGGTAGATAATCCTGAAACTTCTTTTGGATTATTTGCTTTAAACTTTCCCACAAGTATTAAGAAGAGGAGAGATTTTTAAAAATGGTATCTGGCTTTCTTCTCATGTATTCATCATGTATTACCCAGAGCAAAGGCAGTGAATAAGAAAAGAGCCTCAAGAAGACACAGGAGGTGAAAAAGTAAAAAGTCCAGAAATCATTGATTCTTTGTTTAATCAGTTCTTATTTTTATGTTTTTTTTTTTTTTTAAAGATTTATTTATTTATGCATACAAGAGCTGGGGCACAGGCCAGAGATGTGGGGGGTGAGAAGATCCACCAGAGACAAAGTGGGGAGCAGAACAGGCAGACTGACTGAAATACACTGCTGAAGGGAGCAGTGGGTGAGACAGGAGAGGTCTGCCTCACCATGTGGGTTTCTCCCTGGCCGGCCAGGGATCAAGCTTGGTGCTGCAGAGGCTGCGGATTGCTTCATAGTGTGGTGCTTAACCCCTTGTACCACCAGGGACAAGTGTGATGTGTAGTATATTACTCTCAAACAGCACATTGAGACACCACCAGGCAGCTTCCCTCTATGGAAACTAACTCTTAGAGAGGTTAAATGACTTGCCCTGAGTAAAAAATGGAGCAAGTTTTTGAACCTTCATCTCTCTGAGTTCACAGCCCATGTTTTTTATTATTTCCCCAGTCTGTTTCAAGAAAAGCAAAATTTATTCATGGAATAAAAGTCATCCAAATCTATCCCAGAAGAATACGAAAAAGTCATAGGTTGCTCTAGGGATCCTCTTCGGCAATCCCATGGCCACATGGTAATAGCCTGACATCTCTAACTATCTCTGCATGTGTGCTTAACTATCCTTTTCTTTTCTTTTTTTTTTTTAAAGATTTATTTATTTATTTATACAAGCACTGGGTATATAGTCAGAAGCGCAGGAGGGTGAGAGAATTAACCAGAGCCAGAGCAGGGAGCAGAGCAGGCAGAGGGACAGAGGTACACTGCTGAGGGGAGCAGCGGGCGGCAGGAGAGGCCTGCACACCATGTGGGACCCTCGCCTGGAGGGCCGGGGATTGAACCGGCACTGCAGAGGCTGTGGGCAGCTTCGCAGCCCAGCGCTCAACTGCTGCGCCACCAGGGGAGGCCCATAATTATCCTTTCTTGACTCACCATATTCTTTACACTTTCTGCTCTTTCATGAGAATTCAGTGTGCCAAATCCCTCATTCCACTCCACGACACTCAGCTTCAGTCCTTGCCGTTTAATGACTTTTTCCCTCCAGGTTTCTAAGTTCAGATTCCCAACAGTGAGAACTGATTGGTCTAGATCATGTTTCGACACCAGGCCATGGGTCACTGGCCAGGCTACATGGATTGGTTAACTTGGGTCAAGTGCCCAGACCCTTGGGTGGGGCTGAGGTTAGGCAGAGCAGTCAAGTTCCTCAATAATTTGGGTAAAAGTAGGGAAGCATTATGAAACCTAACCTGTCATGTGCCATTTTTTTAAATTTCCCAACAAGATTTACTTCCCCCTTTTTTTAAATTTGCCTGTTTCTGTGAAAGGTACTGCTATTCTTCCTACCACCTAGATTGAAAGTCAAAAAGGTTTTGATTAAGATTTATTTTATTGGAAAAGTAATACTTGGATATAATAAAATATTTAGCATATTAAAAAGTATACACATTGAAAATTGTTTATTAAAAATTTTCAAGGCCCTCTAAAGGCAAACCCAGCAGTTTGTGAAACTTCCTCCAGGAAAACTGTTATGTTCAAGCATTTTATCCACATTCTAATTTTTCATAAATGGAAAAATTCCATAAACATAATGCCTGGCCACCTTCTTTCATTTAATAAATAGAGCATGGGACCTATTTTATATCAACATATATCTTTTTCATTTTATAATGGCATTATAGAACTTAGGTATGTATATCATCTTGCTGCTTAATACCTTTTGATAGACAGATGCATTGTTTCCACTCTTGCCATTACAAGCAAGGCTGTAATAAGCAAATATGTTTGCACACAGCTGTAAATATATCTATACATTTTTCCATCATAGCATGCATGATGTTTCTATTTTAATACCTTTATGTCCAAATTGATTCCAAAGATGTGTCCATATCTCTTTCCATCTGTGTGTGAAAGTGTTCAATTGACTATGTAATGCACACTACCTTGCATTTAGTCAAACTTCCTGACCTCTCCCGATATGGTAACTTCAGTCATTTTTAATTCTACCTTCTTTCTTGCCCTCTAAATCAGTTAGTCACCTAATTCTATGAGTTCCTTCAGACTCCTCTCCATCTATATCTTTGTAATTGTAGCACTATCAGCTTTGTGTCAGTTTTTTTTTTTTTTTAAGATTTATTTATTTATTTATACAAGCACTGGGTACAGTCAGAAGCGCAGGAGGGTGAGAGAATTCACCAGAGCCACAGCGAGGAGCAGAGCAGGCAGAAGGACCCAAGTACACTGCTGAGGGGAGCAGCGGGCGTCAGGAGAGGTCTGCGCGCCATGTGGGACCCTCCTCTGGTGGCCGGGGAGCAGCCGGGGATCGAACCGGCGCTGCAGAAGTTGCGGGCAGCTTTGCAACCCAGCGCTCAACCGCTGTGCCACCAGGGAGGTCCTTCGTGTCAGTTTTTGATGCTTCATATATTGACTTCCAGTATATCTCATTCCTTTTTCCCCATTTAATCACCTTTTATCCCAAAAGTACTAGATTAATATTTTTCTAATTTTGATTCTATACTCAAAAACACCTTTGGTGGCTCACACACCAACAATATCTAGTCCAAATCCTTACCCAGGCCTTCTACGCACTCCAGATTCTAGTCCAATCTACTCTAACGCCTTCACACATAATCAAAAGTTCTGCTCCAAACTTCTGATTTGTCACCTTCATACTTTCAGTTACATCACTTCCCTTGCCTAGGAGTTGTTCTTCCTATTTAAACTTACTTAATTTTATTTATACTTGAAGGTCCATCTGTGTGACCATCTCATGTTCTGACAATTTGGTTCAATTTTTTCTTCTCAAAATTGTACCACTCATTCGTTTTCTGTATTACTTATTTGACATTTACAACTTAACTAAAAGGTTGTTTTTTCTGTCTCCTGAACTAAGGTATCCCTAAAACATATTTGTATATCTTTCACACATACACGTATATCGCAATCGTTCTAAATCTGTGGCATGCTCAAAAAATATCTGTAGATTGAAGCACGACCTGAAAACTAAATATTAAAAAGTAAGTACTGCTAAGACTTTCCAAAACAGCTGAAATCTATAACATCAGATGCCAAAGGTGGCTGCTAAGAACTCAAAAAATATTCAAGAGTGGCAAGAAACAAAAAGTTTGCCAATAGGAGAAAAGACTAAAGAAAAAGATCACTGTTACACTAGTCAAAACAGGACTCTAGTGCAAACAAGTAACACTTCCCACCAGATTGTCACTAGACTGTTAAACAATTTGTCTAGTATATAGCCTTTATTAGTTACCATCTGGTTTGCACATTCTTAGTCATATTAAAAAGTCATATTCTTAGTCATATTACAAGTGGCACACTCCTGAGCATCTACCCATTTCTTGGACTAGAGTCTAATATTACTCCCAGGTCTGAGAGAAAAGGGGTCTCTTCAATGAGCTATACTGGTAGGCAATCACGCAAAGAATTTAACCCTTTCATTCATGCAATGAAATTGAGTCTAAGTATCTGGTTCAAGCAAAATACTCCAGACCCGTGTTTCAAATAAACTATTGGAAATTAAGCTATTCCTTTAACTGAATTTCTAAAATGCCGAACAAAACTTGATCTATTTACACACATACCTGTACATAAATGCAAAGAAGAGACTTGGAAGGTCACATCTGAACTGCCTATTTCTGAGGAGAGGAGTGAATTGGTATACATTAGTTGTATTAAACAGAAATATTGTTAAAGAGCAAATTGTATCTTGCTAATCATATGTATTTACCATATACATTTTATTTAAAGAGTTTATCATTAAATCCCATGGTGTTTGCAAACATTCATTTAGGGGAAGGGGGACCTACCACTGATATTCCTGTCTAAACCAAATTCCCTGATCAACCCGATCTGTAAGTAAATATTGGCCGTGGGTAAAAGTGACCAAAATAAGTCCACGGATCAAATCCTTCACTTGTCATTTTATCCCAAGTCTACATTCCTCAGTGAGAGGTAATAGGGTATTGTCATGAGTTAAAGGTTTTGATTTCTAGTTTTGGCTTTACTAAGAAAATGCTGGGGGACCCTGGGCAAAGTACTTCCTTTGCAAAATTAGAGAATTAGTCCATCCTGTGATAGAAAGTCTTTTATTCAGTTCTTAAGTGTTGCCAATCTAAAGGGAACAAGAAAAATTCCCTCCCATCCACCAAATACTAAGTCCCTCCCCCCACGTATATGTATTAGGGCGCGCCTAAGAAGCTGAGGAGCTCACTTGCCAGGGTTTAGAAGGGTTCGCAAAAGGCAAAAGTCCTTTCACTCAAGAAGTATTTCGTTTTCTTGGCCGCCGTCATTCTCAGACATGTCAAGGTCTAATTGCCGCCAACCCTCAATGAGCCACGAGTAAGACGAAGACACACCAGCGGCGACCGTCAAGACGCTACTACAGCTCCCAGCATGCCTCTCTCTCCACGGCCGCCCCCCCGCCCCCCCGGTCGCCCCCCCCCGTCACCTCCCCTCCCCGTTCCTGGACTCCTGCCGGCCGGGACTTCTAGTACCAGCCCACAACTAGGGGCGGCGCGGGAGCTCTAGAAATACGCTCTCCCTCCTAGTAGGCAGAGACTTCAAGTGTCCACGACCGTCCTACTCCGACACACTAGCGTTTCCACCGCCCAAAGCCGAAACCCCTGCGCCCTCTGCCCCTCAGAACGTCGCGCTGCCCACCCAGGGCCACGCCCCGGAAATGGAGTCACGTCGCCCAGCCTAAGGCCGAATTACGTTGGGGCTGGGACCGGCGGGACGGGCTGGGGGGCGTGTCCGGGGGCGTGGCGAGCGGGGGCGGATCCGTGCGGCGTTGCTTTTGGGGGCGGGGCCGCGGCGCGGGGCCGCGCGTCTGGTGGCGGCGGGGGCGCGCCCGTGGGGAGAGGCGGCCCCGGCTGCTAGTGGAACGGGGGGCGAGGAGGAACCGGGAAGGGGGGGCAGGGCGAGCGGAGAGCCTTGTTCCTGAGGCGGTGGCTGCGTCTCCGACCGTAGAGGAGAGGGCGGGGAAGGAGGATGGGGCAAGCTGGGGGCTGGGGCTGGCGTTAGCCGCAGCGGCTCGCGTCGTCCTGTGGCGCGGCGGCTGCCCCTGGAAGTTGGAGTGTCGGGAGCCGGGCGGGTGCAGCCGCGGCCGCCGCCTTGAGCGGCGGGGAGCAGCGGGGCGCAGCGGGGTTGGCGGGGGTCGGGAGGGGGGGGCCGGGCTGGGGGAACGAGCTGGGGAAGACGGAGCGGGCTCTGCGCCGGGCAGGCGGGCGGCGGCGGGGGGGCCAGCGACCGCAGCCGGGGGGCCGCGGGAGGATGGAGCAAGTGGAAATCCTGAGGAAATTCATCCAGAGGGTCCAGGCCATGAAGAGTCCGGACCACAATGGGGAGGACAACTTCGCCCGGGACTTCATGGTGAGTCCCTCCCCTCGCTGTCGCCTCCCCTCGCCGGCACCGGAGCCCCCCGCCGCCGCCTGGCCCGGCCGGCCCCGGCCGCCTGCGCTTTGTGTGCGGCCGCGAGCCGCGGGGCGGAGGGGGCGCACCCCAAGCCGGAGGCCGGCGGGAGCTGAGGCCGCCTCCGCGCCTCGGCCTCCCTTCCCCTCCTGCGGCGTCCGCGGCCCCCTCCGCGGGCGCTCGGGACGCCCTGGGAGCGGCCGAGCCCGCACCCGCAGCGCCGCCCGTGACCACCTATTGTTTCTCGGGCCGGGAGCTGCAGGCGTGTGAGGTGCAGGCCGGAGGGGGCTCGAGTCTCCTCACGTCCCCGTGCACCCTGCCCCTCCTGGGAGGGTCGAGGCGGGGTGTCTCCCCCGGGCGGAACGCGCTCGGGCTGGCGGAGGAGCGGGAGTGCCCCGGGTGGCAGGAACTCGTGGGGTCCCTTAACGCGGGCTGGCCGCAGAGGTGGACCAGGTGGGACGTCTGCAGTTTCTAGGTTCGAAATGATCCCCAACCTTTGGGAAAGGATTGCCCCTCAGGAATCTTGTGGTTTGCCAGATTACCCTTTCTCTCCGTCCTGGCTCTTCTCTCCTGAGACCGAGGCTAGAAGTGGTGTTGGGGTGAACGTGACTTCAGGTTGGGGGGGGGATGGGGGTCAGTGTGAGTCTGTGGGGAGGGGGTGGCGATCCTGAGCGAAACCTACTTAGGACTCCCTAGGGAATATTGCCGAAGGCGGAGGGGATGTGACTATCACTTCCTATCCGGGGTGGGGGTGGGGAACATGGGAACAATAGTCCTGGTGGGGCGGAGGCGATGATTCGGGCCGAAGCCCTGAACTAGGAGATAACCTTCCCAGCCTCCCCCCGCCCCCCCCTTTCCGCCCTCGGCTTGTGCAGGCTAGCAGGAGAGGAGGTTAAAAGTCTTGTTCGTAAAATTGCTCTAGACACATTATTGTGAGAGGGGGTCAGGTCCGAAGGCGTGGGACCAGAAGTCGACTTCCTACATTGCCCCCCCACCCTTTATTTTTCTACTGGACAATGTTCCCTTTAGGGTTGTTTCCCGGCTTAGGAGGCGGTGGTTGCGGCGGCTGCTCCTACGGATATTGCGCAAGACTGGGGCGTTGGAAACCCTGGAGGTCTGGGGAATGGAAAAGGAAGTCGGACTTTGGGAAGTGGTTGCTCCTTCGCTTTGGCGGCGTAGGGAGATGGGAAATAAGCAAGGGCAATTTTTGCACCTGAGCAAGATACACCTCCAAGAATAATCATTTGAGTCTGAAATTCTGGGCCGTGAAAAGGATACACAGTTAATGGATAAAAATGAATGGGCAGCAAACATTGGCTAGTTTTTCTTTCAAAGTACAATAATTGTTTACAAGGTGCAGGTGACATGACTGCTGGAATACTTTTTCACATTTTAAAGAGACTTCTGTCTAGTAAAGGTTTAGCACTAAAATTAACAGCTTATAAAAATAGATCATTAACCTTACACAATATTCTGATAGTATTGTTGAGCTTGTGATAAAGGATAGGAGGGAGGTTTTGTTCGTATCTTTTTTGACGATGGAAAAATATAGATTGAATGATTTGTGCCTTATTTGAAACACTTTCTCTTGGTATTTAGCGCACATATTTTTTTAATTTAATTTTTGACCTGAGAAGGGTAAGGAAGTATTTCCCTTCCTACTATTGAGAATTTTGTGTTGGTATCTTTGAATGGTGTCATTTACCATAGTTGTAGGGAGTCCCCTTTTTACTACTCTCTAGCAAAAATAGAAGTAAATGTTTACTTAAAATGTTTAAAGCTGGTCTTTATGTTCTTATTTAAACTGGAAGAAGAGGTGGTGTGATCCCTGGCCGCTTCTTGTTTGCATGCTAGTCATCTTGTTATCCCTAGGCATATCCTGTCAGGAAAGAGCATTGTTTGGTGATGCAGGCTATCAAGCAGGTGCCCAGTCTCTGAACTCCTGTACAGGGGAAGTAACCTTAGATTCGTGCTTTAGGGATGAGTCAGGGATTCCTGTTGGAGATTTCTTTTCTCAAGGATCATTAAGAGTTTCCTTTTCCTTCCATAATGCCTAGGGATAGCTAGGTGATTCTACATTCAAAATTTGATGACTAAGGGTATTCTCTTGCTGTCCTTGTTTTTTTTCTTTTTTTTTAAATTCTGTGACTTGATAAGCAATAGCTGTAATTTAGATTGCTGCTTGGTGCCACTTTTCCCTTTGACTGGAAGGTAGGAGGGAATCTGTCACCTCTGCCGTGGAAAGAGAATAGAAAATCAATTAATAGGTTCTAATTGTACTTTTGTTCTTAAATTCTAATGTGAATTAAAAATGCAATTTTAGAACTGAACCTTCCAGATATTTGGCTATTACAACTGTGTTCGGTTGTAGAATAGTAATGCCTTGCCCTGGGAAACTAGTGGTCATCCAAACTCTACATTATTCTCTCCAGCCTTTCTACAATCCCATCACTCCAAAGCTACTCCCTCTTAGTGTTTTTAATGCTGCTTTGTGACCATACTGCTTATATCATTTTATATTCTTGGGTTTTTTTGTTTTATTTTCAGTAAGTGCTTTTTGTTTGTAAAAATAAATGGAAGTGGATGTATGTAGAATTTAGCCTGGTAACTGTTCTATAATTTAACCATTTCCTGATGGTTGAATGCTTAGGCCATTTATTTTCTATTATATATCATAATTCTATTATAAACATGTATGCAAGGAATTTCTTTATTTTCAATTATTGCATGAGATTTTTTTTAGTAGTAGAAGTACTAAGGTGGAAGGACATAAACATTTGACATGTGTTATAAATAACCTTCCAAAGAAGTGTCCATTTATACAACTGTCAGTAACGTATGCGTTTTCATAGAATAATTATCTTTGATCATTTGTTGGTTGAAAAATGTTATTTTAATTTGAATTTCTTGATTATAATAAGGATAGAAATTTTTCTGCCAGTCACTAAATATTCTGTGAGTTATCTATTTTGGACTGTGGTGTGTTGTGTCATTCATTCTCTTAAAGGGTAGAAAACTGAGGTATGCAGATAGTGTAAACTACAATGCAGAGATGATTACTTCTATGTTATAGACAGTGATCAACACAAATAGTGTGTGCTTGGGTGGTATACATTCACGTGTGACAGGCCTGGGCTGTGGTCCCATTGCTACCATTGGCCAGCTTTCTGACCTTGGACAGGCTGCTTAAAGAGATGAGTCTGTTCATCTTTAAAAAAAGAAAAATGCTACTTACGTCCAAGGCTACAGTTAGAGACTAATTTTTAAGTCATGGCTTACAAATTATTGTGCTAAGATCTGCATATTCTTATATAGCCAATTTATGTAATTAATAGAGATGGAAAAGAGCTCGCAATAGGAAAGAGCTGGCAATCTCTTTTCATTTTAAATCATCTTCTTTTCCTTTATTAATGCTTTATCACATCTAATTAAAGTGTTGAAATAAGTAGAGTCAATCTAATCAGGCTAAAATTTACCTAATGTGCATTAAACACTTCTTCCTAGAAAATGACACTTAAACTGCAAGTAAATATATGACAGTTTCAACTTAAAAACTAGTTCTTACTCTATTTATGAAGGTGAAAACAAAAATTTAATGAGTGGGCTCAGTGAAGTATTAAACAGGATGTGACAGAAGTATAAATTATAGTGTTTTTTGGTAGAACGTTGGCGGACAGATGTACGGACATTTACAGTCACACCCGGGTATGATAACAAACCATCCTTTGTTAAAATGCTATTTTAAATAACTTGGTGTTTTAAATTAATCTGACCTTAGTTTATCAATCAACGGTAACCAGAGAACTACCATAGAAGTGATGCATTTCAGGGGATTTATTATACCATTAATTCAATATTACACAATATTCAGTATTACAATTACAATAGTGATCTTGACCAAGCAGCTCAAAATAGCCAGTTTGCTCGGCTAAGAAATTGTTATATGTTTTTATTTTGCTATACACTAAA